TGTGTGTGTGTGTGTGTGTGTGTGTGTGTGTGTGTGTGTGTGTGTGTGTGTGTGTGTGTGTGTGAATTCCAGGGGATTCTGCTTGTGTAAAGCAGTGGCAATTCAGTGGTTACTAAGGAGGTGGTGTGGAATCCAGATCAAAGCACAGAGCAGAAGGTCAATGACTTATAAAGTAATTGATCCTCCTTCTTATCTTAGCCCAGGCTTCAGGTGACAGATAAATACATTTATGATATATCGAAGCTTTGATAACATTTTCAGGATTTCAGGTAGGGCCAGCTATTCTCTGACCGCTGAAGCTATGGCTATATGTATTCCATACTTATGTTCTTTGGCACCATGTATTTAAAATGGGAACAGAACATATTAGCTGGTGAATGGTTGCAATGTTTCTTTATTCAATAACAGTAGCTGTCACTCACAGCTAACATCCTGGTGAAGCAATTCCCAGTTGGTACATTTTAGAAGTTTGTGACCTCAGTTGTTGTTTACCAGTCCCCCAGTCCACTTGCGCTGGGGGAGAGCTTTTCTGGAACTTCCTTTGTTTTATGGGAGGCACTAGCAGAAAGCTGGAGCATGCAGAAAATGGGGGTGAACTATTAGTAGAAAAAAATAGCGAATGTATGAAAGAACCTGCTGGAAAGATAGAACTTGAAAGGAACTGGCTTGGTAGCCTGGCTCAGTCTGCAGCTCCAGACCAGCAGCAGGTGCCTGGGCAGAAGCACAGGGAGTGGACAGTACTTGGGAATATCAAGAGACGGACTGGCAGTACCTACCTGGGAACAGTCATCGATATGTTGAATGGGCTGATAAAATACATACAAAATAACCCCAAATTTAGTAGTTGAGGACAGCACAAGTAAACTGAGAAGCTTTGCAATTTAAACCACAATCCTCCAGAAACCTTATCAGGAATCAGTTTCCAGTGAAGTTTGGGTAACACATTTGTTGACTCCAAATTACAAAACTGAGGAAAAATTAGGCCTCTTTATTAAGGACTTGTCTACACTGGCAAGTTTCTGTGCAACAAAGCAGCTTTTTGCGCTCACACTGCAGGCGTGTACACACTGCCAAGCCACTTTGTGCGCAGAAACTCCTCCGTTGCAGCACTGCAAAAAACCCCACCTCAACGAGAGTCGTAAGGCTATTTGCGCAGCGGCTCCAACGCTCTATTGCCAGTGTAGACACTTGATTGCTTTCTGCGCTATAATTGGCCTCCAGAGCTGTCCCATAATACCTCAAGTGACCACTCTGCTCATTGTTTTCAACTTGGCTGCCCTGAAGGCATGTGCCCCTCCCCTTTCAACACACCATTTCTAACAGCCATTGCATGCTGTGCTGATCTGCTCCGGGACACCAAGCAAACCATTAATGTGGAATGCTCATGCTGTTAAACATAGAGACAGGTGTGTGTGTGAGGGAGAGGGAGAGGGAGAGAGAGAGAGAGAGATTGCTGTGTAGAGAGCCCAGGGAAGGAGCCGGGGGCTGATGTCAGGGTTTCCCCCTCCCCCTGCCTCAGGACTGGTTGCTTCCTCCCGCTGTCTGAACTCACAAGACAGCATGCTGACACACTCTCTGTCCCCCAAAACAGTCTCTTTCCCCCACTCCCTGCCCCAGACACCACCCCCCACTTCAGTTGAAAAGCACTGGCAATGTAGTAGGATGCTCATGGAACAATGGGATTGGGAAACCTGCATCATGTGACGCTGTGCCTGCCCCATGAGGCATTGCAAATCCTTCTCAAAGACCCTGCTGCCAGTTGCACAGTGGTATAGCTACCACAATGCCCTGCTGTCTTTGCTGTTGCAAGAGCTGCTAATGTGGATGTGCTCCACCGTCACACACTGAGCACAGTGTGGACATGCAACAGCGGTTTAATTCCAGCAGTTTAATAAAAGTGGTATAACTTGTGGTGCAGAAACTTGCCAGTGTAGACATCCCCTTAGATTTACCTGTAGTTCTTATAATATATGCTTTGGATTTTAGTCAAGGAAGAAATCTCAGGTTTTTTATAGAGTATAGGTAGCTTCTTGACTGCACAGGTAACATAGGTGATTGGCACCCAGATCTGGGCACCTGGGTTAGCCTAGCCTGGGTGAGAGCATATCCACTGTAAACCCTGAGTTGTGGTTATTGTGTCCTTACTATTTCTGCACTATTTCTCCCCTGTGTGTATCTGGGAGCATATCCCTGGGCTCTTTGTGCTGAAATACTCTGGGGTTCTTTCCCAGTCAATTGTGGAAGAACTTGTCTGTCCTTCAGGGGAATTGTGGGAAGGGTGTTGGAGGACTATTAGCACTCCAATGATTTTGCTTATGTCCTCACTGCAAAATGAGTTGAGTTGAACCAGAGCCTGGGTTCTAATCCACTGTCCAACAGCATAAGCTATCCAGGGTTTAAAGCACATCCAAGCCTGGGTCAGAGTTTTTCTTGAGTAGAAGTTGGGGTGTTTGGGCTAAAACCCAGGTAAAAGCCCACATTAACTGTGCAGTGAAGACATACCCTAGGAGTTAGAACATTACTATTTTACTTTTGAGGAATATCTGATAAAATTTAGATATAGTTATTAGCATATCATGGTCTGTACTTGCTCATGGGAATTCAGCCAGCTGTTAATGTCAGCACTTCAAGACATATAGAAGCTGATCCGTTATTTGTCAGTAGGGTTCACCATTTAGCCCCAAAGAGGATGTGGAGTAATAATCATCATTAGGAAGAGCCTGTTGAATGTAATAGTAGGAGGAGAAAGTTAAACTAGAGAATCAGTCTTAAAATCCACAATAGTGGCTCCAGCCATCTCAGCTCCTCTATGAAGAACATTAAACAGGACCTTGTGGACAACCTCCCAAGCAAATAGACTCTAGAAGAGATCAGTGAACAATGGCTGGGGATAAACTAATTTTGTAAAGCAAAGTTCTTCAGAAAGCCAACTAATAAGGAAAGAGCAGGGTAAGAAAAGGATCGGTGGAAAACAAATCTCACTAGATCTAGTCCGGCAAAATTCCCAAGGACTTTAATAGGAGTTTTTTCTACATCAGGACTGCAGAATTAGGCACAAAAATGTGAAAAGACAATGTCAGTTACTTTTACAATGCAATTGCACTGAGGAAAAAGATACCATACTCATACTATAGGAACAGCACAGGATAAGAAACATAGCAAACAAATATAATGTGTCCTGAGTAGGGCATGGTGTGGATTTGTACAGTGCCAACAGACCTGCTAGGAGGCATTGTACCTATATATGGAGGCACAATGTCTCTTGGAGCTCCCTGAAATGCAGAAGGAGCAATTCCAACATTTGCAATGGCTGTAGGAGCAGACCCTTTAATATGATAAAATATAATCACAGCTACAGAGAAATCCACTTCTTTCAAACAGAAATTACCAACTTACTTTTGAAATCTTCTGCTCTCTGGCTCCCGAATGAGTCCAGACAGACCAGTGTGGTCAGTGAACACCTCTGTCACGCCCATTTCCTCAGATCTCTCTTTTTTATCATAGGTACCAGAAATAGAACATTTTGTCCTATACTGATTATTTCGCTGTTCAAAAAAAAAAGCTGTTGAAACAGCTCATTCGGATAACACTGAAGAACTTGTGTCAGTTAGTGAGATCTGACGGTGCTTTTGCAACAATTGAGGGGTGTTTACATTTGTTTGTGTGAACAGTGTGCTTGAGGGAGGACTGAACATATTGGGAAGAGATGAGCCTTTGCATAATACCTGAATGTTCCTTTATGGATTTTGTTGTCTTTGAAGAAATGCCCCCTCGTTACTTCAATGGCATAATTTCTGTTCCTTGGGTACAGGGAGTGGCACAGAGCTGCTGTAGTGACTCCTGTGTCAGCTGCACACTGTACAGAACATGGCTGGGGCACCTCTGCATCCAGGTTACCAGAACAGTCCATCAAGGCCATTTGCGGCCATCAGAGTTTAGAGCAGCCCTGAGAATACTACAATCTATGGCAGGATCCAGGCTGGGGTAGACCCAATCCCAGGATTTCCGCAAAGGCAGTTAAAGAGTTTAAGAGCCTCACCCTCAATGTGTGTCACAGCTGCCATACAAATAAAACCTGATTAATTTAGAAGTAAAATGATTTGATTTCCGGTTGTTTAAAACTCCTTGGTACCTGTTTCCTTTTATTAACAGCTATTTAACTCAAAAGCCAGAAGGAAGAGTTGGGGGAAAATTGTTGAGTTGAATGGAGTTTGACCCAATGGTGTAACTAAGGACTTGCCTACACACAAAAATTGTACCTGTTTAACTACAGCAATATAGATACAGCAGTCTAACCTCCCTCACATGGATGTAGGTATACCTGTATAAAAGGTACTTATACCAGTATAGTTTTTTCCCATAAGCAACTGCATCCTCAGTAGGGAGGTTATACTGGTATAACTATTTCAGCAAGAAATCACACTCTTAACCCAAAGACTTATACCAGAACAAAAGCTGTGTGTGAAATCGGGTACACTGTGCTTAACTCTTGCAGCATTTTAACAAATCTTTGACATACCAGTATGTAGAAAGTAAACTGCACACAGCAAAAGTCAAGGAGAATCATGGCTGACCATCAAAACTAAATTCAGCACCACTTAAAAAAAGTTTCCGCACATAAATTTGTATATGGATTTAGTACCTTTTATATCCACTTAAGAAAGGATCTTAAACTCTGCTGTAAACAGAACAATGCTCATACATACGTATTTTCCCCTCTATACAGGGGAAAAACATATTTACAATCCTTAGGCGGCAGGCACCAGAACTGAGAGCAGGACAATTCCTGGGCTGTCAATATTCCTCCTGCTGGAATCCAGACAGCATGCAGAAAAAGGAGGATGGCGCAGATGTAGAAGGGTGAGGAAAGGAGTGTGGGAGCCTTTCATGCTTTGTCAAGATAGTGGATAATTGTAATTTTAATTAACAGGTCTTCAAAATTATAATGTGCTAGAAAACACAGATACAGTTCCCCACACAGAGTTCATTAGATTTTTAGTACCAATCATTTCTTCGTACAATTTCCTAAAATGCATTAAAAACAGAATGTGCACTAACTGGTCATGTTGACAACAATCTCTCTTTAAGAGGCAAAACCAAATGGCTTCCCATTAAATTTAGTTCCCATTTCAGCCAGACTTCCTCTGTCAGAGAATTCAGTTCTGTTCATCCCCTGATGACTGCCTCTGTCAGATTTACTATACAGAACTGACTGTTTTCTATATTTGCTACAAATTCACCCATAAACTAAACTGCATATAACATGAATTCAAAATGTCAGGAAAAATTAATACCGTACTTACAGTCATTCAAAAGGATCCTGTCATGCCCAGCTGATCTGCACTTCTCGTTGCTGTATTATTTACTACTAAACAGTATTAAACGGAGTGTCTTATAGTAAATACGATTCTGATCAAATAAAAAATATCAGAAAGAATATAGAGTAAACAATAAGGCAGTTTGTTTTTCTGAACACCTACAGCCAGATGCCCACTCTCCAGTACAGAATGGAGCCAATGCTAAGGGAAGGAAGGGATCTGGGCATCATATAGATGGGAGCAGTGACTAAGCCACTTGCTGTTCCCCAGCTTTTCGGTTTGTTTATGCATAATTAGAGCTTCACTGAAACGAGGAACCCATGCCCACAAGCAGCTGCCCGAACACTATGGTTCCCTGGGACAGGCACTAAATTTCATTTCCAAAAAGCCACACAGGTTACTATTGCTCAGATGAGCGTTATTTTCCAGAAGATAGGATTGGTAGGGTCCGCGTTGGGAGAGAGGGAGCCAATAGCATGGGAATCTGCCATGCTGATGAGAGGAAACTGTTCCCTGGAATCGATAAAGAGAGGCTTCTTCACCCATCTGATTGGAGAGCCACATTACTGGGGCTCGCCGTCCATCTGGCACTGCAATCCTCGTCCCCATTGTCTCATCTCTAGATATCAATATCGCCCCCAAAGAGGAGTCGATGGAGATGCACCACACTGAACCCTGTTCCACAAGAACGATTTGCCCTTCTCACATGTTTTTACATAGGAGAGTGTGATCGAGACCCTAAATTCCTGTTTATGCATGCCCTGCATGTGATCTTGTCCATGTTAGACATGACAGTCAAGCTCTTAATGTGATTTGAACTGGGATTTTAACAATTTCCTTTACACCAAAACTCTAACACTGGGCCTTCTGATTATATAAAATACTACAACCTGCAGCACCACTCCAAGTAGTCAGGAACCACCACAGATAAAAATGTAAGCTTCAGTCCTGCAAGGAGTTACACATCTACTGAATTTTAAGCATGTGAGTAATAATGAATATTCATGTGCTTAAAGATAAACCTGTTTTTCGGTCTTTGCTAGATCAGGCCATAAGCCAATAAGTAATAAAAATAAAAATATTCAAAAGAATGACACTTCAAAGAAATGGAAATATTTCATGGAGACATGTCAATTTGTTAGAAGTTGTATATGTTTCAATTAAAAGTTTTTAAATTTTTCTAATATTTTTTTACTCGCATCTCATTTTTTTTGGTAATTTTTTTGCCAACTTTTTTTCCAGTGTGTGAGGGGATGGGGAGGGGGAGCAGAAAAGTGAGAGAAAGTGAGATTTTTCTCCAGAAAATTGAAATTAAGTTTTGTGTATTCTTTTGAAAAAATTCTTTTAGAAAATTATCACACATACACACACAAATTCATAAAAAAGTGAATGAAACAAGAAAAGTATTAGAGTATAATTAACTCCTATAGCTAGTTCATTATAGTCTAAGTACCCAGGCAGAGATGCACCAATACTGCCAGGAAGAGCAATCATTCCAGCAATCTGAACAGAATAAATCACAGGTCAAGGAAGATGCAGTTAGCTTTAGGGTTCGTATGCATAGGGCTCCCCATCCTAAGGTTGGGGAGTCCTATGAGTACTTGGAGCAAGGGTTAGGGTTCCTATGGGCAGGGACCCTTGTGCTAAGGTTAGGGTTCCTTTGATTAGGGTACTTGGAGTTAGGGTTCCTCTGGATAGGGCTCCCCATCCTGGGGTAAGAGTTCCTATAGTTAGGGTACTTGGAGCTATAGTTAGGGAGTGTAGGGGTAGGATGCTTGTAGCTAGGCTTAGGTTCTTATAGGTAGGCTTCCCTGCAATAGGATTATGATTCAGAGTTAGGATTCTTAGGGGTAGGGGACTTGGAGCTAGGGTTAGGGTTCCTATGGTGTCATAACTATAAAGGGAAGGGTAACAGCCCTCCTGTGTACAATACTATAAAATCCCTCCTGGCCAG